TTTTTATATTTTAAATAAATATCTTTTATTCATGCAGGTAAAAACAGGGCCATTTTCAGAGCATTCTAACCAGCTATGGAATATAAGTGGAGTTCCAACATGGGACAAAGTCAATTCTGGTCTGATAAAAATGTACAAAAAAGAGGTATGTCAATTTGAACATTAACTGTGGGTTTTTTTTTTAAAGGAGCATGACCCGAGTATTAAAATAATGAATATAAACAGCTATAAAATTAATATAATTATAAATATAAACAGCTAATAAAGTTTTTAGCGATAACGAAAAAAGTTTGAATAGTTAAGTTCTTTCAATAGGTTCTAATTTGGAATAACAAAATAATGAACACGATTAAAAGATTCAGATTTGAAATAGTTATCTATAAAATCCTTTTTCTTTTTATTGATATCTCTGAAGTATGGTTCAGTGGATAAGGATCATTGTGAACGATCTGGGTTACATACTTCATTGTGGCTAGTGATGTTGCTACATATACTGCTACATACTTATTTTGATCTCTAAAATGTTGCTTTATTTTTCTTGACCCTGGCTGACAATTGGTTCTTGCAAGAGTGCTTGACTTTACTTTATTTAAGTTTTTTTAGTCTTATAAGTTATATAAGTTTTTTAGTCTTATAAGTTTTTTTTTTAGTCTTATAAGTTTTTAAAAAAAATTTTTTTTTTATATAATTGAATAATTTAATTATTTATTCAGTCTTAAAAAATTTGACTTCACTAAAAGTTTCTATTTTTTAAAAAACTACCAGGGTAACAATACTTTTGTTTATTATAAATGAAATTTAAAGTAATTGTAAATTTTTTAATGATAAAATATTACAGTTATAAATGAATTAGTTTCATTATTGCCCAAAAATCCCTTTTTTTTGTAATTACTAGCTTGTTTTCAAGTTACTTATAATTAATTACTTTTTTTAGTTACTGTTACTTATGAATTAATGTCTTTATTGTTTACTAATTGAACTGCTTATATGCAGGGTTATATTTAAGACTGTCTGTTTCAAACATTGAATAAAAACTAAAACCAGAATTTAAATAAAGTATTTTTTTTTCTTTTTGAAACTTACATGTATATTTTGCATTTGAAAATAGATAAAATAATGGTTAAAATACACTATAAATTTAGGGAATAATAATAAACGGGGATAAAATACACTATAAATTTAGCTAAAATTTTGTTGAATATGAAGTTTTAGAGATTATTGATACTAATAAGAAAAATTTTATTTGCCAGATGAATGCCTTTTAATATAAAAAAAATATTGATAGTGTCAAAACAAAGGTAGTGGTATTATTAAAACAAACTTTTAGATATTTATATAATAGAATATTAATATTTTGTGTATTATGTGCTTTTTTTTTATATTTTATTTATGAATTTACTGAACTGTTTATACATCCAAATAAATAATATTCTAATGCTTTTTTTTAAACTTAATTTATTTATTATTTTTGTAGGTACTAGGAAAATTTCCAGTTATCCAGCATGTTTTATTTGGAAATATTCTTCCAATTAAAAAAGATGAACTTATAAAATGAACTCATCTAACTGATGCTGTATTTTTCTGTTTTAAATGGATGTAAATAATTCTAATTTATGAATTTTATTATAAGTATTGAAATGCAATTGTATGAATCTTATATTTGTGGCACTATTTATTACTAAACTTTGTACTGTCTTCCATGAATTATATCTCATTATGCCAGTTAAATAGTTTGTTTTTTTTTAAGAATTAATTTCATATCTCATATTATTTTATTTGCATCTTTTGAATTGTCTTATATAATTTGTAATTATGTTAGTTTAAATAAAATTGACTGCAAGTTATTCATCCAATTTATTATCCACCACTAAAAGGTGTTTCACTGGCATTTCTTTGTCTTTCATTATTTCTCACATCACTGTTCAGCCTGTATCTTTTAAAATCTACCTTCTATTATATTGTAATTATATTAACTTAAATAAAATTGGCTGCAAATTTGTCCAACCAATTTATTTACATTTTTACAGGGTGTTAAAACATAACTTGAATGCAGCTATTCTAATTATCCTGGCCTAATATTGTTTCAAATGATGAATTCTTCAAAAATCTATGTGCATGTTCTAAGTTTATGAACAGTAATACACAACTTAACAGTTAAAACATAACTTAAATGCAGCTATTCTTAATATCCTGGCCTAATATTGTTTCAAATGATGAATTCTTCAAAAATCTATGTGCATGTTCTAAGTTTATGAACAGTAATACACAACTTAACAGTTAAAACCTAACTTAAATGCAGCTATTCTTAATATCCTGGTCTAATATTGTTTTAAATGATGAATTCTTCAAAAATCTTTGTGCATGTTCTAAGTTTATGAACAGTAATACACAACTTAACAGTTAAAACCTAACTTAAATGCAGCTATTCTTAATATCCTGGTCTAATATTGTTTTAAATGATGAATTCTTCAAAAATCTTTGTGCATGTTCTAAGTTTATGAACAGTAATACACAACTTAACAGTTAAAACATAACTTAAATGCAGCTATTCTTAATATCCTGGTCTGATATTGTTTCAAATGATGAATTCTTCAAAAATCTATGTGCATGTTCTAAGTTTATGAACAGTAAATTTCATCTTGTAAATCCAAAATTTCTTTGATTTGTTCTGTATGTTCATCATAACATGTTGCAAAAACATTTATGGAACGTTTTTTCTGGAATGTCTTGAGCCACAGCAAACTGCATTCACATTGGAGAGGATTTCCTAGAAATTTAAATAAAACCCATTAGAAAATAAGCTAGACACAGTGTGAAAAGATAAATTTATTTTTTTAACAGTGGATCGGAAGAGTTAACCCTTTACTAATTGGTTAATTTTCAAGAAAAAGGTCAGAAAATTATATAAAAATATGTATATGAACACTATATATATATATATATATTCATTTTTAATTTGATTTTAGCTTGAAATTTTAAAAAATTAAATTTTTGGGAAAACCCAACATGTGCTATAACTTAATATTGGTATTCCAGAAAGCAAGGAAAATTTTAAAAATATGTGTTTTAAACATTAAAAAAGAATTTTATTAACTTATGTATAATATAAATAAAGATTAGTAATTTTTTCTTGTGTGATAAATTTCAACATCACAATCTGGACATACCGAGTTTCCTTCCTAAAAACCTTAAAAATATCCTGGTTCTCCCATCTGATGTGTGAAATGAGAAATAAAATGTTTTCTGGCCAAAAGAAGTGAATTAGTTTTATTCTTATTGGCATGTTAGTACTGAAAACTCCAGCCCGTCAATATCATGGGAGCGAGAAATAGAGGGCAAAGTCTCCTGTCATTTTCACGGAGCGAGAAGGAAGGGATTAAGTAGCATTCCTATATCTATTAATTTGTCAGGAGGTTTTTTCGCTTTAGATTTTATTGGGTTGTATGAATTAGCCCTCTAACCTTTTTTGTAGAGGTTGTCATCTTGAAGAAGAAACTTTACGATATATACTTTATGATTATGAGGTCTATTCTGCTCAAAGATTTGAGCATTTAGGGCAACACTGTATTTAGGCCTGAGAACTGCAAGATGTTCTTGATAGTTGTTTGCTGAATTTCATTTCAGCCGTAAAGCTTTCTAGTTAATCATGATTTATGGTTTGGGTACAATAGACCTGTGGTCGATGCACCCTTTTCTTTAGAGCTGCCCAACCTCTATCTATTTATGAATTAGCCCTTTAACTCTCTCACTATTCTGGCAAGTATTTCCTTGCATAGTTAACTATTTAGAACAGGAATGGAGAAAAACCAGTTATCTGTTCATGAAATCAGTTATCAGTTCATCAAATTCTGAAAAAGCCTAATTTATTGAATCATTAATTTATAAAAAAAAATGTCATTTTTCTCATACTGAGTTTTAAAAAAAAATTATTTAACAGTCATAGCTTTTAAGTTTGGAAACTCATTTTAATTTCACAATAAAACAGAGTGCGCAGCATTTTTAAAAAGTGCTTAAAGGTACTTATTTTCATTTTTTAAAAGCCCTTAAAGGTGGTTTTTTCATTGGGTGTTTTTAAAAAGTGCTTAATTTTCCTCTTTTTCAAAATGAAATTTTTCCTTTACCATGTTCATTTTCACTTCGAATTATGCAAAAAGACACAGATCACATTGTTCCTATTCAATGTTTTCACAATGAATTCAACCCCAATCTGTTTCGGCGTATTGTCAGTCCGTAGTATATGAAAATGCCATTCATTTTACATGATTCAAAATTTAATAATTTTTGACAATCGTAAAAAACAATACCAAAAGTTTTTTTCTTTTTTGACATGATGGTTAAAACAAGATAAAAACGTCAATTGTAAAAAACTTTCCAACCATATCTAATTATGATATTTTTTTAAAGTGCTTAAAAATATTTTTTGAGTGCTTGAAAAGTTCTTAAAAGGTGCTTATTTTTTTGGGGAATAATTTTGCTACGCACCCTGTAAAAGGAATGTTCTTAAAGCTTTAGTTTTAAGTGATTGTCATACATAAACAAATCATAATACGAGACAAAAATAAATTAATTTTCCAATGCAATATAATATTCTTTAATGTCTATGTATAATATTTTGATTTATGTTTTGTGATTTAGTAGTACATCATTATTCTGCAAAATGTATGAAGCTTCAGATAAGTTATATTAAAATACATATACATTGTTATGTTGAAATACATAAAAGATGTATTTTAACAAATTACAAAATATAAATCTCACCCTACATGATCACTGATTTCTAAAGTAATATAAATTATAAGAAAATATCATTTGCATGTAATAAAAAACTGATTAAAAATGCTTGATTAGTTTTTGTATGTCAAACAAAATGTTAATGATATTTTCAATTAAGCATCAAATCAGGATCCACAGTAAATAACATTCTATTATACTATTTATTATTAATAATGATTTTATAGCATTTGAAACTCTTGATTATTCTTATAACACAATTTTTTAATCCAATGACTTAGGAAGATATTTTCATTTAAAGTCGAATTCAAAAAAATCACTATAAATGATGTTATTTTATTTGCATGATAACAATAATGAATATACATGATTCAAAATTATCTCTTTATTTTCTGCTTTTCAAGATACAGTTTTTAAACCCAAATATCTCATCTTTATTAATTTTAACAGTTTTCATAAGTTCGAAAAATTTCAAAGAATCAAATTAAAATGAAAAAAAGCGTATTTGATGAAAATTAATATTTTTGTGCAGTTTACAGGAATTTATTTCTATGAATTAAGTGTGTGGAATATTTTTTTAATAGAATTTCAGCGTTTTTATATATATTTATTTTATATAAATATATATATTTTTTTAAAATAAAAGATACATACTTTCTGCCAACAGATGATTCAGATGACTTTGTAAAGGTGTAAACAAGGATTCATCTAATGTAGAAAATTGGTTCCCGTTTAACATTAATACTTGTAACTTCGGCATGCCGCCAAAAAAATTTGGTTCCAAGTTTTCAATTTGCGTATTTCTATGAGAAAAAGAAAATATTATTAAACATAGGTTAATATTATCAATAAAGGAATTGAGATTAAATTTTTACTCTTGATTTATTGAGAAAAAAAAAGAGAAGAGTCAGTCATAAACATTACCCTTGATAGTGAATTTAACATGGTTTATTTAGGTAACTGTTTATAAAAATTACGAATTCCTGTGTTTTAAAAGTATTGGTCGCAGACCCCCAATAATTTAAGTCAATCATTCACTAAGCATACCAATTGAGAGTAATTGAATAAACCCAAAACATGCGGTTTTTGGAAATTACTTAATTTTTCAAAATCATACGAACCACATATTTGAATAACCCCACAAAAATTATTCTACAAAGTTGTAAATGATGTAGAAAATTTCTCTAGGTATTATCTAAAATTCAATAAATTGTCATTAAGGTTTCCCTTCCTTAAGAGAAAGAATATTTTACCTCCACCACCTACAGAAAATTATAAGTACAGAATTTACTTATTTATTTTGTAAGTAATTAATATTTTTGTTTCATTTTATTCAGTGAAATGTGTTATATTGAACTGAGTTAACAAAATTAAGATTTTAATGTTGTAAATATATTTAAAAAAACTTTAAACTTAAACGTTTTTCAAAATTTTATTCATGAAAATATTTGCAACCTTGAAAATTAAAAAAAAAAAAAAAATTTAAATAAGATCAATCAAGCCTGTTTCACTGAATAAAATAAAACAAAAATTATTCACAAATATTAATTAGCCACTGATAAAAATAAAAGGAAATTACGGACATATAATTCTCTGTCAGTCAACATGAAGGAAGCTAATTCTATTTTCTGTTTGCAGGAAACCCTTAATGGCATTTTATTGAATTTTAGAAAACCTGCATTATATATAAAGATCAGAAATTCATTTATGATCTATTCAAACCTATAACTTAATCTTTGGGCTATTAATAATATATTTTAGTTCCAGTGTTTGTGTTAGCAGTAAATCCATTACTGTCACAAATTCATTCTTTCACACGAAATTTTCAAACCCTTGAGACAGAGCTGCGATGACTCAGGGGATAAAGCGTTCGCCTTTCAATGAGGCGAACCGGGTTTGAATCCCAGTCGATACGAATTCCGCATCCGGCTTGCACCGACCACAGTGCTGACGTGAAATATCCTCAGTGGTAGATGGATCAAGGGTTAGAGTCCCTTTGCCGTCAGGCTAACCGTGGGAGGTTCTCGTGATCTTCCTATCCATGTAAAGCAAATGCGGGTTAGCTCCATCAAAAAGTCCTCCACGAAGGCAAATTTCTCCCAAAAATCAATCCCTTGTCTTCTGGATTGCGTTCAAAACTACGGAGTAGTCGTAAACCCATAAAAACTGGGTCGGCTGTTCAATAACAGTTATATATATATATAAAAACCTTGAGATCCGCGTCTTAGTTTTAATTTTTCTAAAATTAAGTAAATTAAATTATCTACAATGAGACTGAAATATCCTGACAGAAACTTTTTACCGAAACATTTTCTATTATTTTTGCCGTTAAGTATACTTTCATATATAAAGTATACTTTCTTATATAAAACAAAATTAGGCTAAAAGTAAAGAGCATGGTTGAAAATATTTCATAGGGTAAAAATTTGCCTCCTTAAAGCATAACATAATATAAAACTTTTTATCTCCCATGGATTTGTGACTCAACAGTTAAGCTACTATGTATTTTACCCTATCTCCAGACTTTCTTAAACGAATTAAAAAAATTTAGCGCAGAATTCTAAAGTTTGTTTAACCAAAGATAATTCAATGTGAGAAATAATTTTTAATAATTATTTAAAAATCTGAATCTTCTAAATTTTGTTTACAAAAATTAAAAGACTAACGCTGTTGTAATCCATATTTATTTTTCGTAATTCGTAATAATTTCTTTGTGTTATGTTATTTTAATGCAAGTCATCATCATTATTATTATTATTTTTTTACATTATTAGAGATCTGGCTTGAAATATCTTCAGGGAAAGAAAGATCATGGAATCAAAAATGCTCAAAATATGCAAACGATTTTATTTTAAACTAAGGCTCCTATTTTAAACAAGTTTTAGTGATGACGCATTTGAAAATTAATTGATGCCACGAACTATAATACTTCATATGCATGTACCTTTATGATTGATTAATGAATAATATTAAAATTAATACTTTTGAAAAATTTAAGCAAAATATTTTTTTTTTAAAGAAATGAGATCTTTGATCTGGCAACATTAATTTTGTCTGCATTTATGCTTTAAAAAATGTCTGATGAAGAATGAAAACTGTTTAGAACATTTTTTTATTTAAAATGTTAATAAATAGTTTTATTTTAAATCCTAGAAATAGTAAATGAATATATTACATAAATGTCGAATGTGAAAGATTTTACGTAAGTGTTTTATAATTTTATTTTTTGTTTTAATTTATTAATTATCCATTTTATTTCTTATTTTGCAGTCGATTTTTTTCAGTTATAAAAAAGAATTAAAATATAATCTTACGTTATTGAAAATATTAATTAAAATAACCTTAGTCAACGTTAGGGAAGATAATTTTGCACTCAGCTTCCAAAATATTAGTCAATAACAATTTAAAAAACTTATTGTGTTAAAAAATGCTGTTTTTTTCATCCTAAAATTATCTTGTTCTAGTAAACTAAGTTTATTAAAAGATTTTTGTTACAAATAATTATGTTTGGGAACAACAGCGTTTAGCAATATTATTTAATTCTTTCTTGTATCAATAATTGGATATTAAGTTAAATGTGGTTAGTTAAAAGTCCTAAGTTATATCAATTTTCTTAAATAAAAAAATGTGCACATTTTGTAATACGACCAGTTCTTTGTTTTTTGTGATGTTATATTCAGAATTCATTACCACAGTAAAGGTCCTGTATAACGACAATTTACAACAGCCGATGAGATTGTCATTATACAGCACTTATCGTTATAAGCAGAGGTACATATTTAGTGTTAGAATAACAATAAAAAAGACTTGAGTTTAATAATGTGCAATAGCTTTTAAAGTCATTAAGTACACTGAATGTTTGTTTCAACTGTAAGCTGTAAAGAAGGGAAATAAGGGGGTCAACAAAAGGCACATCCTTTTGAAATGTTTAATAGAATTTCTAAAAAGAGCAGATGTTCATTTCTTTTCAAGGAGGAAGATAACTTGGCCGGTGATCGCTTATTTAGGTTTGCATAAGGATTAGCATTAGGTTTGCATTTTAAACATAAAGGGCTAAAATGCAAGGTGAAAATTTGCTTCAAAATAAATTGTCGAAATATCAGAAGACTAGCAATTTAACTATCTACACATATAGAAGCTTTTAACGCTAATATTAACATCTTACTGAGGTCAAACCTTCCGACTTTAGGTGGAATAACCTATACAGCAATAATTAAATTATTAAAACCTATACAGCAATAATTAAATTTTTAAATGTTACAAACAACAGTTGCGTTTAAAGAAATATCAAACATTTATTTATTGATGTGAAATGATAATTATGAACTGAAATTTTTAAATGAACTTTGTTTTTAGTAAGCAGAACTCTCTAAAGAAAATCTTATTATTAGCTTTTTTTTTCTTGATCTTTTCAGCATTTTTTGGATTCTTTTTCTTCAAATTTTCAAGTTTTGTGCTTTTTCTTGATACCTTCCTCAACAGAGATAGGTAACGTTTTTGTTGATATGAGGCGTTAAACCACTGTTATTAAGTATTTTATTTTATTTTATAACCGTCTTTGAACAACCAACTCAATTTTTGGGTTGACGACTGCTAATGTTCAACTGAGTAGTCCTGTATTTTTGAACCCTATCGAGAAGAAAAGGGAACTCCTGTATCAAGTATTGGGAGAAGTTTGCCTCCGTGGAGGATTCTTGATGGAGCTAAACAGCATTCGTGTTACATGAAGAGGAAGACTACGAAAACCTCCCATGGTTAGCTTGATCGCAAGGAGATTTTAACCCATGATCATTCTACCTCTTAGGATATTTTACGTCAGCACTGAGGTCGGTGCAAGCCGGATGCGCAATTCGTATCGACCAGCCATCGCTGGGATTCAAACCCGGTTCCCCTCATCGGAGGGCGAACTCTCTATCCCCTGAGTCATTGCGTCTCCTTATTATGTATTTTGTAATAAATAAATTAAATAAAATAAAAATTAAAAACGCATGTAAATAGAAAGTAAAAACTTTCCTAAAAGTTATTGATTTAATCTGATAATTTTATTTCGAAAATAAGTTCGCAAATTCTGCGTAATGTTGACGGCTATCTCTGATCACGAATAATATATAAAATTAAAAGTTAAGATAAAATAATTTTTCAGAAAAAAGTCGTAAAATAATTGAACATAAAAGGATAACGAAAACTGTTTCAAATGATGAAGAATCTAAATTTGACAAGTGTTTGAAGGAGCTTTCAGAATATCACCAAATTTGCACAAAAAAAGTGCAGGCTTTTAAAATATCATACAATATTTCATCTGATTGTGTGTGTGAGAGAGAAAATCAGATATTACGGAAAAACATGATGAATTAGTAATGGGAAATGTACTCTTTGGTTGTGAATAAAAGATATGATTAAATAATTAAAGAAGGATATCTTTTGATCAGCTAAAGTAAACATTTTCGTTAATCATTGCTGCTTGATGGTATGCGCATAAATAATTCATAAAGTTCATTTTTAAAATAATATTAATAAAATTTTTCAACAATTTAAGAAAAATTACATTATTTTCTTAAAATAAAAATAAGTTTTGGGTCAAATTTGTTAACAATTAAAACTGGTTATCATATAAACGTGGAGGTAGGCGATATCTGATATATTTATTTTTGTTGATAAGATAGTATGAGCAATGCTTACGTCAAAAATGCGCAATGCTTTAACGTAATAAATTCCTAATAGATAACATTGATTATTACGATTTTTAAAATACAAGTTCAGTTTGAAAAAGAATCAAATTCAATTGTATTAACATTTGATTGAT